ACAATGATCAAGACGACGACGACAATTTTTGCGACAAACAATCGTCAAAATTGAGAAAAACAGAGATTACACTTGAGCAAAACATCGACTTTGTTGGCTTCACCAACTCGGGCGAGTTTCAGCGCAAGTTAGTGTCCACAACGGATGAAACAAATGATTTACAAAATTTGCGACTTGAAATTAAAACTTTGCAAGAAGAACTGAAACGCAAAAACGCTCAAATTGAGCAGCTGACTTGCGTTTTGAAACAGGTGAACTGCTGTCAGCTGTGCCAGGATTACAAAACTAAAGTTGAAAATTGCAAAATTCGACGAGAGACTTTCATTTAAACAGCTAAACGACAGCTAACTCTTTTTACAATTTTTCATAAAAGATTTTTCTTTATTTTTGCATTTGAAACACAAACTTAACTTTCTATGACTAGTAAGCAATTACAAAAGTGCAAACTGTGGTCACCAATTGTAAAAAGCAAAATCACACATACAAAAAAGCTTATCATGCAGACTAGACAACTCTAATGTGATTTCCTTCTTTTACGCTTGTTTTTATCAATCAAATCAGCACTCTCTTACTTTTCTCTTTCTACTAAACACTTTGCCGTTCTCTGTACATCTGTACCGGCAAACACGCCGTGTATTAGTAAAGAAAATGACATCAACAACAAATATCAGCAAATAAATATCCTGTCAGACGATGAGCGTATTTTCTCCTTCTAGTGATATTTCCTTTCAGTGTGCGCTTAAGTGCTTGAAAATTGTTTTCAAAATAAACTAACACAAAAACAAAAGTAAAAGTACTTGTGTTCACGTTTATTCAATTTCACTTTGCATTTCGTATTTCTAAACTTGACCAACACAGCAGATACACTTCATTAGCAAACAAATGGCCGCCACCAAAGTGCAAAGCGTCAAAGGACTGGTAGCGCTAGTTACCGGTGGAGCATCAGGTATGTCTTCTTAATTGACTTTTCAATTTATCTCTAAATACTTGTGTTTTCAAATATATCACAGGCCTCGGTCGAGGCGTCGTTGAGCGGCTGATTCGACAGGGCGCCCGCGGCGTCGTCGCCCTTGACCGAAACCACGAGACGCCCTACTCTCAAGACAATATCCTCTCGCTGACGGCCGACGTCACCGACGAGGACCAGGTCAGCGGGGCCCTAGATCAGCTGAAGGCCAAGTTCGGCCGCCTGGACGTCCTGGTGAACTGCGCCGGCATCGGCATCGCCCGAAAGGTGTTCGACTTCAAGCGGAAGGTGGCCCACCCTTTAGATGAGTTTCGCTACGTCCTCGAGGTGAACACCGTGGGCAGCTTCAACGTCGCCCGCCTGTCGGCGGGGCTGATGGGTGAAAATGCGCCCACCGAGGGCGGGGGCCAGGGCCAGGGCCGAGGGGTGATCATCAACACCGCCTCGGTGGCCGCCTTCGACGGTCAGGTGGGCCAGGACGCCTACGCCGCCTCGAAGGGCGCCATCGTCGGCCTGACGCTGCCCATGGCGCGCGACCTGGCGCCACATGGCATTCGCGTGGTCACCATTGCGCCGGGCCTCTTTGACACGCCCCTCCTGGCGTCGCTGCCCGAGGCGGCGAGGGTGAAGCTGGCGGCCACTGTTCCCTGTCCCTCACGACTGGGATCGGTGGACGAGTACGCCCACCTGGTGCAGGCGATCATCGAGAATCCGATGCTCAACGGCGAGGTGATTCGCCTGGACGGCGCCATTAGGATGCAGCCTTAGTGGAGAAGGAAGGAGGGAGGGAGGGAGGAGGTTGCTAACAGTGAAAAGGATTCGGAACCCGCAAACTAACAGAGTAGTAGTGAAGAATCAGTCTTTATTTACAAGTTTGCATTTTTTTCCCTCTCAACAACACAGCATTTAAAAGATGGATTAATTTTTACGGTGTGTTGCTGTTAGTTGTGTAATGGTAACTTGTAATAAAAGCTGTATAAAAGTAAACCGGTGTTAATGAGAAGATTACAGATGCCGGTGATAATGATGATGGTGGCAGTTAGATAATGTGACACTTGGTGGAGCGTTTTCGGTCACCATTCTCACCATCTNAATGATAATGGTGGCAGTTAGATAATGTGACACTTGGTGGAGCGTTTTCGGTCACCATTCTCACCATCCTTGCTCGTATCATTGTCACCTGTGACGGCTGGTGCAGAACAGATCTTCTTCTTCTTCTTTGTGAGAAAGAACGGCCCATAGAGAATGTCGAGTTCGTTGGCAGTTCCCTTCAGAGCCGCCTCAATGTCCGACTTGTACATCTCCTCTGCCGACTCACGATCAAAAACGTCCATCGGGGGGCGAATGAGGCCGATGATGGCCGCCCGAATGTGGCTGCCGACGAAGTTGTAGCCAAAGTCGTGGAGAAAGTGCACCTCGGCGGATCGCTGGTAGTGGCCGTCGTTGTAGACGGGGCAAGGGCGCCAGCCCAGAATGCAGATCATCGGATAGACGGGAGTGAAGACGGCGGCCTGGTGGAGGGACGACGACGTTTCGGAGGAGAGAGCGCAGTTCGGGGAGAGCGACACTTTGGCTTCACATTTGAGGCTGCTTTCAGTGCTGTCCCCACTGGAGGAGATTTCCTCACCGGAGAAGTTGTGCGGAAAGACGAGCTGCGCAAAGCCGTAGTAGACGCCCTGAAGGTAGTTGAGTCCNGGGGAGAGCGACACTTTGGCTTCACATTTGAGGCTGCTTTCAGTGCTGTCTCCACTGGAGGAGATTTCGTCACCGGAGAAGTTGTGCGGAAAGACGAGCTGCGCAAAGCCGTAGTAGACGCCCTGAAGGTAGTTGAGTCCATCTCGGTCCACCAGCTCCTCGGCCACCTTGTCCTCGAGGTTGGCAGTGGCAATGTTTTTTGGGTAATTTTTTTCCTTCAATTTGCCGCCGCTTGATCCCTTCACGACCTTGCTCTCGACGTACACCGGCTTGGCACCGATGGACCAGTTGCGTCTCATGCTGTTTGCTGTTGCTGTTGCTGTTGTTGTTGCTGTGGCTTCGGCAGCCTTTCTTTGAATTGCTGTCCTGTTGGAATAATTAAAAGTAGAGGTTAGAACTGTGCACGCCTTTGGGAGTAGCTGAATAATGATGATGGAGCTTACGGATTTCTTTGTTATGAGGTGAATCTGAAGCGCCGATCTCGACGGAAATAATGTAACGCGCTGGACAGTACCGTGGCCACTGAGCAGCATGACAATGTGAAGGAGGCAAAATTTAAAAACGCGCTCAAAATTAACAGCAGCTCTGACGTCTGGCGGGTGAAATTGGCAAACACAGGTGGGCAATTGGGAGAAAGAAAGAGAGTGTTTACAAATTCAAATGAATTCAAATGAGTGAAAAAAGTCCGAGCTAATACCTTTTTCTTCGCCATTTCTTTCCTGATCAACACTATCATCATCACCAACATTTCTCCCGGTCCTTCATTTGGCGACAAAACCAGGCGAGAACCAAAATTTGCACTTGGCTTTGTGGTGTGGCTGGTGTAGTGTGTTGGTTTATAGAGGACCGTTTTTCCTGAGCGGCCTGCACCTCATCTTGGGTGATAAGTGATCGGTACATTTGTTGGTTAAGCGAATCATCTTCATTGTCATCAGCTTTCGTTTTTTCTTTGTTCAGCTGCTAAAGCAGGAACAGGCTCCTCTAAGCTTTTAAAAGTCAATACAGTCGAGTCGTTTGATGATGTTTGAGTCCTGAACCAACGGAATGCTTAAGACTTGCAGAAAGCTGTTGTAGGTGGACTCGGTCATTGCTTTCTTTCTTTCTAAAAAACGAAAAAAGTTAAAATAAGTTAAAATTTCAAAAGACGTTGTTTGTTTTTGTGTGCTTTACTCTTTGTCCCAGTGTTTGTCAGTTTAGTGGACGAACTGTTGTTGTTGTTCTCGTTTTGATCATTGCAGACAACAGCAGCAGCGATCTCTTCTAAACTGAATGATTGACTGATGAAGCAGAAAGAGTTAGAGTTGGATTCATTAGCTGGTTTTAAGTTTTTGGGAAACGCCGTCAGTTTCCTCTTCATTATTTCTGCCATTGAAATTTGATTGAAAAATTGAATGTTAGTAGTGCAAATAAGTTGTTTATGCATTGGCGCCGCATTATTACTTGGTGAATGAACATTCATTTTGCCAATTGTGGATTAATGGCGCTGATTAAATTGCAAAACTGGCAAAATATGTAATAAAAATTGAAGTAAGTGGCCGTTGAAGTTTGTAAACACCAGCACCCAAAACAGTATCCCGCTTTTTAAACACTATTTCAACTCTTTCTAGTGCCTTTTCAGCTAAAATAGCCGCCAAAACTAAATTTTTTTAAATTTTTTAAATTGTGTGCCGCCAAAAATACAGATTATTAAGACTGATCTATCACTCGATATTTTATCTAATAAAAAACTACATTTTTGTGCACTGTTATGTTATGACAAAATACTCCTCATTAAACCTCTCTTTTGGATGCCAAATTGTGTCATCTGTTGTGTTCCGTTTTAAAATACTCAATACAGGTAAAAAAATAAAAAAAAGTTTCTCACAACACAACACAGTATCAGAACATTTTCCCATCACTTACACGGAAACACACACATACACAGGCACATTGACATATAAGGGAGCATCAGCATCAGCAAGACAGCTGTCCTCTCTCTCTTTCGAGGTAACACTTCACTTCGAGGTGCAGCGTAGCAGCAGAAGATGGAAGAAAACGAGTTTTCCCCTTCTAAGGCAGCAGCAACTGCTGCAGCTGCAACTGCTCACGACCTGTTGTGTCCACTGGCCACACATTCACACACACACACACTGGCCTGTCCACTTTAGTCACTCGCCTTTTTCTTCTCTTTTTTCTCGCTCTCTCTCTCTCTCCTTCTTCTTAACTTGACTCATCACTAGCATTGCTTAGTGTTCTCAAAACGCATCAAAACTGAAAGTTGTGTTTACGTCCATCTTAATTCCTATTCCAATTCAAACCTATTAAAAGGGTTCCAGAGAAGAAAAAGAAGTAGAAAAAGATGAAGTCTCCCCATCTCTTTCTGCCATTTTTGACGGCTGCTACCCTTCTACTTCTCAGTTTTTTTCTACAACTGACCGCCGCCGATCTGATGCGCAAGTCAATCGTCTTCGACCCGAAGACACCGAAGGTCTTCTACTGTCCTCAGGATAAGCCGGTGGACATGAGCAAGATAGTGGTGAAGGCGATCAGTCTTGAGAAGCTCTGCGAGTACGGACCCAACGGCCTGCCCAAGGGCGCCAAATCGGACTGCTACAATGACGTGGACGAGTCGGAGTACGCCTGTGCTGAGAAACAGCGCATTGAGGTGAAGATTTGATGAGAGGGATTATTTTAGGGATTTTTTCTTAATTTAATAATTTTGTTGTATTCTCCCCATTTTTACCTAGCTTCGCATCAGTCCGCCAACCGACACCGAGACGACCACCATGTTTCCCACGCCAGACGCCCCTGAGCACATCAAGGCCAAGAAGGAGCTGCATCTGGAGAAGAAAAAGTCCACCAAGTTTAATGGAAAGAAGGTTTAGGCAGGAGAAAAAGTGCTTTGCAATTTGAAAAGTTGCTACAATAGAACAACATTTGGTATGCTTTATCTAACATTTTTTTTAAATTTACATCAGTCTAACAATGTTTGTATTTTATTTTGTAGCAACTTTCTAACAACCACCAAAACAAGCCTTCAAAGTATATTCACTACCACCACATTTGGCAGCTAGCTTTATCGCTTTTATTATAATAGTCTGAACGTATTTTACATAAATTCAAGTGTCAATGATTATATTTTTTAAGCAATTGTATTCACTGACTACTATGATAAATAATAATTTAAAAAAATTTTTTTATTTATTTTTCCAATTAATTTTAAAACCAAGAATTGGTTTTTCATTTTTGGCTTTGGCATATAAATTGAAAATTATTGACTTTAATGATGACTTATACAGCAGCAACAACAACAGCTCTAGTACACGTTAATGAAAAAGAAGTCAAGCTTGAGAACCAAGATGACTAAAATTATTGCGAACAAAAATTGCAAACTACCAAAAAATCAGAAAACATGTATAGAAATCGTGATTACTACTGTCAAACTAACTGTTAATTAGTCAATTTAAAAACAGCATTTGATATATTTGTGTTTATTTGTAATTACTGTCTTTTTTTAGCACCAGTTCACACAAATTGGCGTTAATTAACGTTCAAGAGATAAATTAAGGCATGACACGGAGGCAAGCCGCGCTGTTTTCGGCTTCAGCAGTTTTCTATGTGAAAATTTGCAATTTTTGGATTGCGATATCTTTGTCAATTCTTAAGCTAAAATTACGCTTATGGTTTTAAATTGAAGCTAACGAATAGACCGAGGGACGCATCAATCAGAATATTTTTAACTGCTTCCAAACTTTTTCAATTGCAAGTTGAACTAAAAAAAGTCTGATTTTTACAGTGGTTTTTTACTAAAATTGCAATTGAAAAAATTTGGAAGCAGTTAAAAATATTTTGATTGATGCGTCCCTCGGCCTATTTGTTAGCTTTAATTTAAAACCATAAGCGTAATTTTAGCTTAAGAATTGACCGAGTTATCGCAATCCGAAAATTACTCATTTGTTGGTAAACAATGCATTACGCTGAGTGCAGCGCCGCCTGTCTCCTTGTCTGGCCTTAAGTGATACTTAGAAAAGTCTAGAAGCGCAAATCATCTATATTTTGTAGTTTTTGCAACAATTTTATTTTTGCATACAATTTTTTTTCATTTAATCATCTTTTTTGCTGCACTTTAGTAGCAGTTTTTTAACACCTCAAAAGCCAATTTGTCATTCCATCGTTCTCATCATTTTTTGGCAAATGTGCGGCGTGTTTTATTTTTTGTGTTGATGTTGGCTTAAGAAATTTGATTTACTACCTAAGTTTTATTACTTGTGTGTGTATGTTTTTGCTAGTTTAACAACAGCAGAAAAAATACACAATGAAATCACCTTATTTTGATAAATGAAAAAATGGCCGTAAATCTTGTTACACACTTTAGCTTGTTAAAAATAAAAACAGTATTCAAAAATAAAAAATAAACAGGCAAATTGGTATTTCATTTTAGCATAGTTTAAACAAAAACAAATAAACTAAAACGTGCCCATTTTTTAGTTATAAACCAATTTAAATTTTGTCAAAATTTTGACATATTAAAGTCACGTATTGTAAATGCAAATATTTTTATATTTTTTATTTTATTGTGTAAACTTTGAATTATTGTTACGAAACACACAAACAAGCAAACGCCTTTTATAAAATCAAATCATTGTCAAATAAAATCAAACATTTTTTGTTCGTTTCCATTGTCATTTATTTTGGTTTCAATTCAAATGCAGCATTTATGCCGCCGCAACTTTTGTAAACAATTTTAATAAATGTTTAATAAAAAATTGAATGTTAACAAATTTTGTTTATGACTGTTTTACAATAAAAAATACAACTAAAACATTCAAACTAAAACAAAAGTTTTAAAAACATTTGTTTTTTAAATTTTGCAAAATTAATATTGTAATAAACATTTTCTGCAACGTTTATGATTTTGTCAATAAAGGGCAAGATTATTTTCATTGACTGACTGACTGATGCGTTTTAGTCACACTTGACTTGCTAGGACAAGCCAAACTTTTGTTAGCTTAATGCCGCTGCCAAACAGTAATAAAAGTCAATACATTTTTTGTCAGTTTATTGATCTAACTGAATCCTTCTCAGTTCTACAGCACTAGAATTTATTGCCAACTTTTTCAAACATTCTTTTCTTTTTTTCATTTTTAACATCATTCAAAGTTGTTCTTTACTATAAAGTTTGACATTGTTTCAGTAGCAGCTCCAGTTTTGCCCATTTTTCTTATGACATGCTTGCTATTTCTTGCTTTATTTCTCTTTTTTGCTCCTAACTTTCAGACATTTTTTTGTTTTTTTGTCTTTAGCAGCTATAACTCAAGCGTTTGTACATACATCTTGCAATCACTCAAGCGATCCATCTCTATTTTTCTTCTTTTTTGTTTGTCGTTTGGAAAATGCCACAAACTTTATCTATTGCCTTTAGTTTTAGCTCACGTAGTTTAGTTATTAAGATTGACGCAACTTTGTTCTTAGTTTTCCGTTTCTGTTCGTCATATTTTTTCGCCGTTTGTCAATTAGACTTTTCCGTTAAAAAAAGAAATTATTTTTCCTCTGTTTATCAAAGTTTTAAACGGAAAAACGGCAAAACATTATCGTGTTTGAGTGTTTTTTTGCTGACTTGACACAGTCCAATTGATCGACCACTCCGATTAGTTTGTTTTCTTTTTCTGTTTTTTAAAAAAAATATGTAGTAAAAGCGGAAAATGGCAACAAAGATGGGCACAAAGCCACAGACAAGTTTGCAAAGGAAGCATAGCGCCCAAATCTTGACAAACGACAGTTTATAAAAAAAGAAAAAACTGTCTCAAAGGAGACGGTTCTGATAAGAATTTTGGACGTTGAAAATAAGAAACTGTGAAATGAATCTTTTTTGCTGTTGTTGTTGCTTTTTGCTGTTTTTGTAGTGACCATTGAACTGGCATCGAACTGGCACACACATAAGTTTACTTTTTGCCATTTATTTTTTAGCAGTATTGAGCATTTTTAAAAGTTACACAATTTTGTTAACAAAATATGATCAGCATTAAAAGCATCATCAAAAACTAAATTATCATACTAAAACAAAAAGTTTCAATGCAATTTATTTTTTATTATTTTGTTTTTATCAAGTTTTTGCAACAATGTTGCCAAGTTTAAGTGCTGTTTTGTGCAGTAATAATAAAAACAAAAAAATAATACAATTTTATGGACAACAGAAACAAACGCATTAGTAAAAAAATAGAATTTTTGGAATGAAATGCCAATTAAATATTGTTTAATAAATTAACATAGACAAGCATTTAATTAATACAATTTAATTCAATTTTTAATAGAATGTTGGAACAAAATTGATGTTCTTGCAGTTTATGTAAATTTTAAAATTAAAATGAATTATGTTAACTTAAAATTGCTCTATTTAATTGTTTGAAAATAAATTGATAAAAGGTGTAGCAAAAACCATCTTAATCATTTTGTCTTTTAGTTTGAGTTAATAAAAAACTGGTATGCTGTTGCTGATCGAGATGTTGATGGTTTTTTAAATAGGAAAAAAGTGTGTAAAAAGTTTGCATTTGAATCAAGATAATTTGTATTTTGTTTCTAATACAGTTAAAAAAATCTTTCCTGCATTGCATTTTTGTTCATCAACTCTTGTTTCTCATCACTTCTAACAAAAACAACTGAGCTTTTACACCCATCAACAAAAATCAGCAAAAGTAAGTCATTAGAACAAAGTGATAGCAATAGCAACAAAGTTTATTAAGTAGCCAACACACATTTGCATAGTCACAGTTAATATCATCAACAACAACTAACTATGGTCTTTACTTCAGCCGTACATGCGGGTCAGTACTGGTTTGGCCAACAGAAAAAGATTGTTCATCAATAGCATTTTATAATGTAAGCTACCTTATAAGCCACGTTAAGCTTTTGATTATAAACAAGGGCAGTAGTTTAATAAAAACAAGTCAATAAAACAATATCAACACATTTGTACATTAATCTTTCACAAAATTTGCAAAAAACTTTGCTTGGGTTTTCCTCTTGTTAAATGTTAACTAAACACAAAATTAAAAAAGAAAACAGTCTAGTAAGCTTAATGAGTTATTTTTTAATGTTTCAAACCTCAAAAGTATTTGAGTTTTAAGTTTTAAATCATTTAAATTTTGTTTAAATTACAAACATTCGATGTGAAAAATTGACATTTTTTCCCATGAAAGTTCTTGCCGTTGAACAAATTAACTGACTTATTTCAGCTTTTTTTATAAACTTTAAAAAAAACAGCAGCAGCTAGTTCCCAATGGGAACATTTAAAAACTTAAGAAAACGAGCTAAAATATTTGGTGGTAGAAAAAAACTTGCGTGTGTCTTAGTGCCTTTGACTATTTTTGAAAGTACTTTGATCTAAACTTGCAAAAGTTTCAAATTTAAATTGATGATGATTACGAGTTAACTGTTTTTTCAACCGTTGGTCACGACTGAGTGACTAACTCAAAACTCAAAGTATTTAAAAACGTTAAAAAATGACAAAAAGATCTAGTTAAACAGTTAAACAGTTGCAATCACTATACAACAAAGTACAAATGAAAAAACATTTACTGACAATAGTCACACTCTTTATTTTGTTTTTTCCAACAAATAATAATTATAACAATAAGAAAAATATCACCCATTTTTTGTGTGTTGTCTTTTACTTTACTTTTATTTTTTCTTTATTTTTTCCCGTTCCGTTTTAGTCTAGTTCTAGTGCTGCTGCCCACTAGAACTATCAACTTCAGACCTACTGCTGAAGTAAGTAAGTGTACACTTTGTTGCCCTCGAATTGCAGAAAAAGTAATAATAATAGTAATGGTAATAGAAGCAAAAGTAATACACACTTGAGAAGACCGCTAAGAGCAAAGTCAGCAGT